ATGCTAAGAATAGGAGATAGACAAATTGTTTTATATCTTTTCACATGTGCTATATAAAAGAAACTAAGGTAATTAATATTTAAGAGAGGTAAAGGATAGAACTGTGACCATAGAGGAGTAGAGTGAATTATAAACACAATCTTGGGATGTATTAATAGGGAGGAAAATACACATGATGCTAACATAGAATCTTCTTTGTATAAATTATGTTAGCCTATATCCACTGTATGGGGTACATACTGTAAAAAGGCCATTGGAGTCTTGGAGAGGGTTAAAAAGAGGGCAACTAAATGAAGACAAGACATGGAAACTCTTACTTCTAAGAAAAGGTTAGAAAACCTGGGTGTGTTCAGTTTGGAAAAAAGACAACTTAGACGTAACCCAACATGTTCAAATGTAACCAAGGCAAGTACATAGATATGGTAAATTAATTTTTCCTGTCAAAAACTGTGCAGAAGACATAATTTGAGCACGAAAGAAAGATTTTACCATCCTATCGTATATATTATGAAAAGAATTCTCCAACACATGCAGATTACACCATCAAGGTAGGGCTGGGCCAAGGGGCAGGCAGAAGACTTGGCAGCCTTGGGTATTTGAGCAGGAGGTGGGCATAAAAAGGGCAAGACCTGCAACCTATATGTCTAAAGTGCTTTACAGCTCATGTAGGGGTGGTTACAGTTTGAATTTTCAATCTAGGTGCTAAAGGACCTTGTCCCACCACTGCATCAAGGAACGTGTCACCCGTCCTTTCCTCTGTTTGCTGCTCATACAACTGCCCATCACTGTCTTCTGTATACTGTTCCCTGAACCTTCCTGCCATACTTTTCATCACTCTCCATGTGCCACCAGAGGGACCTCAAACCCCTCTCCTCTGTGTGCAGCTCCCAGAAACTTTCACCAATTACCTCTCTGCACCACCTTTGGAACCTCCTGCCCCTCTCCTCCGTGTGCCACTCTCATAACCTCCTGATACTATCCTCTTTATGCAGGTCCAGGAGCCTCCTTCTTCTCTGTGTGCCACTCTTGGAACTCTTCTGTTGTTCTTTGTCATTCTTGGAACCTCCTGTCCCTCTCCTCTGTGTGCCACTCTCATAACCTCCTGATACTATCCTCTTTATGCAGGTCCAGGAGCCTCCTTCTTCTTTGTGTGCCACTCTTGGAACTCTTCTGTTGTTCTTTGTCATTCTTGGAACCTCCTGTCCCTCTTCTCTGTGTGTTGCTCTACAAACCTCCTGCTCCTCTCCTCTGTGTGCCACTCTTGAAACCTCCTGACCTTCATTTCTGTGTGCTACTGTACAAACCTACTGCTCCTCTCCTCTGTGTGTCACTCTTGGAACTTGCTGACCCTCTCTTTTGTGTGCAGCTCTGTAAACCAGCTCCCTCTGACTCTCTCCTCTGTATGCTGCATCTAAGACATCCTGCCATTTTCCTCCACTCACTGCTCTTTAGACTTTCCACCAATATTCTCACAGTACTGCTCCTAGGACTTTCCACCCCTCCTCTCCATTCACTGCTCCGAGCAACTACCACCACTGTCTTCAACTCTCTATTCCCAGGACCTCCCATCACTGTCCTCCACTCACTAGTTCCAGGACCTCCCAACACTCTCCTCCACTCACTATTCTCAGGACCTCCCACCACTATCTTCCACTCATTCTCAGGACCTTCCTCAACTCACTATTCCCAGGACCTCCCACCACTATCCTCCTCTCACTGTTCCAGGACTTCCAAACACTGTCCTCCATTCACTATTTCCAGAACCACCTAACACTCTCCTGCACTCATTATTCCCTGGAACTCCCAATACTGTCCTCCATTCACTCTTTCCAGGACCTCCTAACACTCTTCTCCACTCACTGTTTCCAGGACCTATGAACACTGTCCTCCGCTCACTATTCTCAGGACCTCCCAACACTCTTCTCCACTCGCTGCTCCCAGCACCTACCACCAATCTCCTCCATTTACTGCTCTCAGGACCTTCCACTATTCCCCTCCACTCACTGCTCCCAGGACCTCCCACCACTTTCCTCAACTTACTATTGCAAGGACAACCACACCACTCTCCTCCACTCACTATTCCCAGGACCTCCCAACACTCTCCTCCACTCACTAATCCCAGGAACTCCCAACACTTCTCCACTCACTATTCACAGGACCTCCCAACACTCTCATCCACTCACTAATCACAGGAACTCGCAACACTCTCCAACACTCACTATTTCCAAGACCTCCCACCACTCTCCTCCATTCACTGCTCCTAAGACCTCGCACTACACACCTCCACTCACTACTCCTACAGCTTTCTACCAATCTCCTGTCTATGCTGCTCTCAGAACATCTAATCTGCCCCTCTCCTCTGTCAAATATATATGCAACAGATCACATCATTCGCCACACATTGGCCTGCTGAGTTTGCTGTTCAGCCCCAAAGGAAATGACTGTACAATCACATGACTTCAGATCAGGATTCTGACATCTGTTCTATACAGATCTTATATTACATACAACCACATGGACTATATCCTATATAATCAGATACACAGAAATCCTTTATCCCAAGAGGAACGAATTCCCCTCCTCAAATGCCTCTACACCCTTAGCAGATTAACAAGTAGACATTGGAGGCTTTGCCCTTCTCTAGTACTATGCACAGGACAGGCCCGGTCCTGTCTTCCCAATACGTCCTCTGCAAGTCACAGCTGGAAACAGAAGAATGAAGAGGATGTATCGCAATCTCCTCTAGACTGACAATGCCTAAACTTCCCTTTTCAAAACTCACATTTCCTCTTATGTGACCGCTAATGTCCCTCTGAACCCCCATAGTAACACGCTGTTTACCAACAACTGCCCCAATAATACCCTGCTGTATACTGTTATGTACTTGGATATTATTCCGCTGTATACAGACATGCACTCCTTTAATGACTTACTGTGTAGCAGCGTGTACCCAAATAACACCCTTAAGCTTGTTGGTATTTCCTCTATACAAACCCCCATTATACTGACATGTACCCCTGTACTATACCACTACCTACTGACACATACCCCATACTACGTTACTGTGTATTTCAACACATTTATTAATAATACTCTCCTGTATATTGTCAGGTACCCCTATACTACTGCATTCTTGAGAAGTACGTCTGTACAGGCCCACTGTATTTCGATATGAACCCCTATAATATCTCTCTGCATACCAACATGTACCGCTAAACTATCATGCTGTATACCACTGTGTACCCATATACTATCATCATGAATACTGACAAGTTCCCCTATACTGCTTTGCTGTATACTGACATATACCCCTAAAATACCCCTCTGTATGCCAACAAGTCGCCCTATACTAACCTTCTGTATACGGACATTTACCTCTATAATACCCCTCTGTATACTGACAAGTACCCCATACAACTCTATTGTATGCCAACAGGGACCCCTAAATTATCATGCTGTATATCACCATGTACCCATATACTATCATGATGAATACTGACAAGTTCCCCAATACTACTTTACTGTATACTGACATATACCCCTAAAATACCCCTCTGTATGCCAACAGATCGCCCTATACTAACCTTCTGTATACGGACATTTACCTCTATAATACCCCTCTGTATATTGACAAGTACCGTCATACAACCCTATTGTATGCCAACAGGTACCCCTATGCTACCCTGCTGTAAACGGAAAAGTACCCCTATGATACTCCTCTGTGGTTTGACATTAAGCCCTTTAATAGTTTTTTGTATACTGACATGCACCCCTATACTACCACACTGTATGCCGACAAGTACCTCTATACTACGCCGCTGTATACAGAAAGGTTTCCCTACAGTATGCTTATATGAACCCATATAATATCTCTCTGTATACTGACATGCACCCCCCATACTACCCCGCTGTATGCTGACAAATACCCCTATACTACCCTGCTGTATATGAACAAGTTTCCCTATAATACATCCCTGTATACCGTTATGTACCCCTATACTACCCCACCATATGCCAACAAGTAGTCCTATACTACCCTGCTGTGTATGGACAAATACCCCTATAATACCCCTCTGTATACTGAAATATTCCCTATAATACCTCCCTGTATACTGATATGCACCCCTATACTACCCCTCTGTATGCTGACAAGTACCCCCATAACTTTCCTCTGTATACTGACAGTTACCGCCTTTACCAACTCACTGTATGCATCAAGCACCCCAATAATACCTCCCTGTATACTGATATGCACCCCTATACTACCCCACTGTATGCTGACAAGTGCCCCTATAACTTTCCTCTGTATACTGACATTTACCGCCTTTACCAACTCACTGTATGCATTAAGTACCCCAATAATGCCTATCTGTATACGGACCTGTACCACTGTACTACCCCTATAATATCCCTCTGTATACTGACATGTACTGACATATACCAACTCAGTGTATACCAACAAGTACCCCATTCATGTCCCTCTGTATATGGACACGTACCTCTACATTACACCACCAAATATTGACATTTCTACACAAGCCCTATTGTCTTTTACAATGTGTTGGCAGCATAGCGCCATGCGGCCAGCCTGGGTGTGGTGCACTATGATCCCCATCATGCACCTGATACAGAGAGCTGGATGGACCATATTGCCAGTCTCTCTCCATTGGCTGTGTCTCACAAGTCGCCATACCTTAGGCAACCTCCAGCTAAGTTTTGCCCTGATGTGTGGTCAGTTGTATGTCATTCCCAATGTCGGCACTCCCAGGGATCAGAGTAGGGAGCTCAGAAGCACTTTCTCTGTTGTCACTCCCTTATACATACAGAGGCGGACAGCAGAGAAATGTCTGGATGTGTCAGGAGTGAGGTCCCCCCTCAGGATGGCACTGCACACCAGGGCTTGGTCCTGGAGGAAGGTAGACAGCACACAGAGCTGAAAGCAGAAAGTATTGTGACAGTTGTGACCCAGCACTGAGATAGGACAAGGTGGGATCTCCTACCTGACGGTGGTCTCTTTCTGCTCAGCCGGCTGACTGCCCGCGTGAACATCTTCTGCACCTCTGGATTTGTCTCTTCTTAGCTCTGCAGCTGTGCAGCCTGATGGGCCCCCCTCCCTCTAAAACCACAGATCCCTCCCTTCCCCAAGATGTCTCACAGCACTCTGTGTGCACAGCACTCTCAATACATATCCAATAGTCCCGCTGTGCTCTGCCTCTATATAAAAAGTTTCACAGCACTCTGTGTGTCTAGAAGTCTCATCGCACTAAGGGGTGGGTTTACTAAAGGCAAATAGACTGTGCACTTTGCAAATGCAGTTACACTCATTAACCCCAGAACTAAATGTGGTAAAGCTTTGCTGATTTCCATCATCTCATCACGTGAAAGCAAAAATGTTCTTTTTTATTTTCATTGCACCTGATGTTATCTACAAAATGAAGCTTTACCACTTTACATTTACCAAGGAAAACGAGTGCAACTGCACATGCAAAGTGCACAGTGTATTGCCTTTAGTAAGTCCATTCCAATGTGTGTCTCTCTAAGGCTAGGTTTACAGGTGTGCCAAAAACAGGCATTTCATCTGTGTATTTAACCATTTCAATACCGGGCAATTTTACACCTTCCTGCCCAGGCCATTTTTCAGGTTTCAGCGCTCTCACACTTTGAATGACAATTGCGCGGTCATACAACATTGTACCCAAACTAAAATTTTATCATTTTCTTCACACACAAGTAGAGCTTTCTTTTGGTGGTATTTAATCATCGCTGGGGTTTTTATTTTTTGCTAAATCAACAAAAAAATACCAAAAATTTTGAAAAAAAAAACACGTTTTTCTTTGTTTCTGTTATAAAAGTTTACAAATAAATAATTGTTCTTCATAAATTTAGGCCGAGATGTATTCTGCTACATGTCTTTGGTGAAAATAACCCAAATTAGGATGTATTATTTAGTTTGTAGGAAAGTTATAGAGTTCACAAACTATGGTATAGATCTGAATATTGATCAATCCTGAAGTACTGACGGCCAATCTAATTTCTTGAGGTCCAAGAATGTCAGAACAGTACAGATATCCCCCAAATGACCCCTTTTTGCAGAGTAGACAATCCGACGTACTTCATAAGAGGCATGGCGAGTTTTTTGAAGTTGTATTTTTTTTGTCATACTTTTTCGGAAAATGAAAACATTAAAAAAATTATTTTCACTATTTTTTTTTTTTACATACTGTCACCAGTGCAGTACAGCATCATCATATAACTGGCATGGCGGTGAACAGGGACACTGACTGGTGACAGTATGAAAAAAAAATATATATATATATATTTTTTTTATTATTTTTAATTTTTTGTTACTTTTTTTTATTTTTTTTAAGATTTTTTTGTTCATATTTTACTATGACCAAAGTAGTACAATGTTACCACAGTAACATTGTACTACTTTGAGGAAGTGATCAGTATTTTTTTTTACACAATTTGCTTATAGCAAAGTATTACTTTGCTATAAGCAAGCATTTAGCTGAATGACATCGATTCATTTAGTTTTTTTTTTTTTTTGTGCTTAGCTGTAATTTGGCCACAGCTAATCACATGACATGTGCATGTGACCTGCTGTGATCATTCACAGCTAGGCACTAGTATACAATGGATGGCATGAATGAAGCCATCCATTGTATACAACTTTCATGTGACCTGCTGTGATTGGTCACAGCAGGTCACATGGTACCGGCAAAGGGGGCCGGTACTCAGATCTGTCATCGGCCGTGTCCGAGGTACACGGCCGGTGACAGATCGCGCCGCTGCGCTGCTCTGCAACCACGTGAACTGCGCATGTGCAGGAGGACGCCAAATGGCGTACACCTCGGAAAGCTACAGCATTTTTGCGGCCGGGCGGCTAATGGTTAAAGCCTCATAAATGCCTATCAATGCTCTGTACCATTTATGTTGGTGCTGAAGACTGCGCTGGACTGACTGGATCGGTCACTGGTCCTAGGTGGGTGGTTGTGTGGGCGGGTGGGTAGATAGTCCTCCAGTCAGCTGTGCCCAATGGTGGATACTGGCGGTAAACCCTTTTAGGGTTTGGGCTGCCTTTCTGGTACGGCCTTGAAGTGGTTTCCATGCGTATACTTGGAATAAAAGAAAAGAAGGAACGTCCAATGTCCAAAAGAATGCACTTTTGATGGTAGATTAAGAGGTATTTATGGAGAGTAATGACAAGTACATCAAGCCAACGCTTTTCAGGAGAAAATACTCCCCCTTCTTCAGGACTGTTGCTGCAAGCTATTAAATGGGAAAAATTCCCACGCAGGTTATATATTCTCCAGGTTTCGGAGGAAAATCTAACAAAGTGACCACTGTCATTCCAGGTGTTGCAGGGGCAGGGGCAGATTGCTGCCCCTGGAATGACAGCAGTCACTCTATCAGTTTTTCCTCCGAAACCTGGAATCTTTTCTCCCGAAATACGTTGGCTTGATGTACTTGTCATTACTCTCAATAAATGCCTCTTAATCTACCATCAAAAGTGCATTCTTTTGGACATCAGGCGCTCCTTCTTTTCTATTATTCCAGCTGTATCATTTATGTCCATTACAGCTGACAGTGTAGTGCACATGGTCATGCTTGCGGTGCTTTGTGTTGCTTTGAATGTATTGCAATGCAAACGCATAAAAGATGTGCCAATAATGCATCTTAACGGGACAGGTGCGTTAATAGATGTTTATGGAATCTACAATATCAAAACACACATCTGATCAAGTCCTTACAGTGTCACAACACTCTGCATGTCTCACTGACAGTCTCAGGGCACTTTGTGTGTCTGTATGAGAGTCTCAGAGCACTATTTGTGTCTCTCTTACAGTGTCCCAGCATGCTGTGTGTCTCTGTGGCAGTCTCATGTCACAAATCTGGTGCAGGTCTGCATAGAAACCAATCCGCTTCCAGGTGTTATTGTCGTAGCTTAACCCCTTGGCGCCAACGTCACACAAATATGCGGCCTCACAGAACTGGGCTTTTTTCCGTGGGGCCACATATTTGCGTATCTGTCTTTGTGCTGGGAGCGAGCCGCACATTGCGCTCCCAGCACAAAGACCAGGGTGTCACCGAGAGTCCCGATTCCCATACTAACGATCAGGACCTGGAACTCCTGATTCTGGGTGACCTCATTGCTGTGATAGCCTCTGATCGGCTATCACAGTGTTCAGTCACTGTGAAGCCCGCCCCTGTATTTTCTCTCTCTCTGAATGGAGGAGAGAGATACATTGTATCTCTTTGCAGAGAGAAAAAGACAACAGTGTGTCAAAAAAAAGAGAAAAATAAATAAATATTAACCACTTGCCCAGCGGGCACTTTTACCCCCTTCGTGCCCAGGCCAATTTTCAGCTTTCAGCGCTGTGCATTTTGAATGACAATTGCGCGGTCATGAAACACTGTACCCACATGAAATTTTTATAATTTTTTTCACACAAATAGAGCTTTCTTTTGGTGGTATTTAATCATCACTGGGTGTTTTATTTTTTGCACTATAAACAAAAAAGAGCAAAATATTTGGAAAAAAAAAAGTTTTCTTTGTTTTCATTATAAAATTTTGCAAACAAACACATTTTTCTCCTTCACTGATGTGCATTGATGAGGCTGCACTGATAGGCAGCACTGATGGGCACTGATGAGGTGGCACGGATAGGCAGCACTGATAGGCTGCACTGATCAGGTGGCACTTATGAGGTGGCACTGGTGGGCATTGATGAGAAGGCACTGATGATGCTGCAATGATGGGCGGCATTGCCTGACAGCACCAACTGGCAGCACTGCGGAGCACTGATTATCAGTGCCCTGATGATCAATGCAGATGTCTTCTGTGTTATTTGCCAGTTATCGGCAGTACATTCCTCATGCTGTGACAGCGTCAGGAAAGTGCAGCCGCTAACTGACAACTGTATTTACATTGTGATCTGCTGTGTCATTGGACACAGCTGATCACGTGGTAAAAGGCCGCTGTGATTGGCCTTTTACCTCATCAGCTCATCCACTCCCTCATCATATCACGACTCGACTACTGCAACTCCCTCCTCACTGGCCTGCCTTGCCGCTGGCTATCCCCGCTTCAGTCGATCCTGAATACGGCTGCCAGACTCGTTCACCTTTCCAACCGCTCCATTTCCGCCACCCCCCTCTGCCAATCCCTCCACTGGCTTCCGATTGCGCAACGGATCAAATTCAAAATCCTAACGCTGACGTACAAAGCTGTCCACCATACTGCCCCGAACTACATCACTGACCTAATATCCAAGTACCGCCCAGCACGCACACTCCGCTCCTCACAAGACCTCCTTCTCTCTAGTTCCCTGGTCTCCTCCTCCCATGCCCGCCTCCAGGACTTCTCCAGGGTGTCACCCATCCTCTGGAACTCCCTGCCCCAACCCATCAGATTATCCCCTACTATTTCCTCCTTCAGGCGCACCCTAAAAACCCATCTCTTCAGGGAAGCCTACCCCCCCCCCTGCTAACTTGCCGACCTCCTCCACTCTTCCTACCACTCCATCCCCTACAGCTATCTCTTTCTGTGCCACCATCCCCTCCCTCCTAGATTGTAAGCTCGAAAGAGCAGGGCCCTCAATCCCCTCATGTTTTGCATTGTATTGGCATTGTTCTGTCACATGTTCTGTCCCCCTTTGTAATGTACAGCGCTGAGCGAACTATTGGCGCTTTATAAATACTGTATAATAATAATAATCATATAATCATGTGATCAGCTGTGTCCGTAGGACACAGCTGACCACAGGGAGTGCCGGGTGTGCGCAGCTGGGGGCACACAAGAGGGCACGTTCTTGGAGGACGTCATATGATGCTCTCCCAGAACTGGACAACCGCGCTGTAGCCGTCATTTGGCTATAGAGCAGTCGGCAAGAGGCTAACAAATAAAATAAGCTATAAAGTAAAAATACCTAGATCAAGGTTTGATCTAGGTCAGTGCCAGGGTTAGTGTTTGGGTCAAGGTCAGGATTTTTATTTTTCGTAAACTAGCATCAGTGTTTTACGTAGGACAAAACCCCCAAAATGCACACTATTGTTCCTGGGCT